TCTGACGCACCTGTATTTCAATTACCGTTTCAACAGTTTTGTTGCAAGCATTACAAACGTAGAAAATATCGACCATTAAGGGCACAGCTAGGGAAAGCGACAAAAAGATGTATTTCCAATCGCCTCCTTGCACACTCCCAGAGAGATAAAAAAAGCAGATAACAATAGTAATGAAACTAACACCAAACATTAGTAACAAAATAACACCAAAAGCTTCATTAACCAATTCCATTATTTTGCACAAATGAGCGTGCATTTCGCAAATTCTGCACAGAATTTTAAAACTCTCAGTGTGGTTTTGATGAAGTAGTAGTTTTTTAATTTGTTGATTTAAAATTTCGAATCGGAGTTCGATCCTTGTTGCCAAACTGATGATTGTGTGGCAAATCGTTGATTTCAACACAAGGGTTGTAAATCGGGTTATTTCGGTCGATATTTCGCTTCCAGTTATAAACATCCGAAATGAGATGAAGTAAATTAAGAGGAATGCTATTATCAAGCCTCTAACTACGAGTTGGATGAAATCATTGCGTTTTGCTTTCTTGTAATTGAGTGAATTTTTTGGCATATTTTCGTCGAATTCTATCATATTTTTTAATAGTCGGGAGAAGTGCTCAAAATTGAGCACTGCATTGATCCAGACTGTGACAACAAACGTGGAATTTGATAGCAAAAGTATTATTTCAGTGCATTTGTACATAATAATCCGGTTTTCTATTAGTAATCTCTTACAAATGATGACATCGCCCAGTAGAAACAAAATTGTTGTTGCGACAATTATGTAACTTCCAGTTTTTGATTTTTCGAAATTTTTATTGGTCACTCTTAACGTCGTTATGCCGAAAATTTGACTTTGCAGTAGTATTATTTTAACAGAGTCGACGAAATTGTTGAAAGTTGGCATTTTGGAGGAAAGTGGATTCAGGACTAATTATTGTGTTCAGTAATCGATAACAATTACTTAAGTCTATTACAACAATGAGTTGTTTAGGGAGCACGTTATCGTAATTATTCTGTTTTTATTAAATATAATAATTGTTTAGGAATAAAAAAGTTAAAAAATGTGCGTTTTTTGCCTACAGTTTTTATTGAGAAATTGTCAATTTTTACAGCTAAATGCCGATTGAATTTTAAAAAAATATTGATTTTTTTGGAAAAATGACATTAAACTAATCAGTTTCAAAAGTATTTTAGTTTGAAGAAAATTGTTTTATTGTTTTTTTTTATTTATCAAAATCACTAAATTACAACAATGAGTTGTTTAGGGAAGACGTTTTCGTAATTATTCTGTTCTGCTTCTCAATATAATAATTGTTTAGAAATAAAAAAGTTAAAAAATTTGGCCTACAGACATTAAAGTGAAAATAAAACAACTGTAGATTTTATTGAGAAATTGTCAATTTTTACAGGTAAATGCTGATTGAACTTTAAAAAAATATTATTTTCTTGGAAAAATGACATATTAAACTAATCGGTTTTGTATTTTGGTTTAAAGAAAATTGTTTTATTGTTTTTTTATTTTTCAAAATCACTAAAAGGAACTTTAGAAATATTGTGCAACAAATTGTTATAGAGTTTCCGGTCAATTTTTCGCGATTTTTAGATTTTTTGAAGTCCATACATAACAATTTTCAAAAATTATTCTCTCGCATTTTTGTAATCTTTTATGCAGTTTTCTTACTCTTTTAGACCTCCAAGCGCATCAATTAATTTTGAAGTGTTCAATTTTTTCGATTTTTGTCAAAATCTGGTCAATTTTTACCCGGGGTTTACTGAGCTAATAACTTCGAGACTATTATTAATAGCCCTTTGTGTTTGTTAATGTTGGAAAGCACATTAAATTTCCTATCTTTTCAAAAAAGGTCATTGTTTTGCGATACATCGTTATTGAGAAAAAGCATTTTAGTTTAGTGTTTCAGTTTGAAGAAAATCGTTTTATTAGTGTCTTTACTCCTCAAATCATACAAATATTCTACAACAAATTGTAGAGTTTCTGGGCAATATTTTCTCGAATTTCAGGTTTTTAGGATTTTTTGCGGTTCGGATAATTTTATAATGTAGCGTTGATTTAAGAGAATTAATAAAAAATAATTACAAAAATTTAAGCACATTTGTAGACGAATTTTGAACTTCGAATTTTTTTGGAAATTGCTGCTAGATTTTGAGAGATTTTTATTTTTGTCGTTGAAGCATAGAAAAACTCGTTTCAAATTTGAAAAAGCAATTTTTAAAATTTTTATATTTATAAATGATCGGTGAAAGTATTGGATTAATGGCAAAAAAGTAAGAGATCAAAAATATTTTTTTTCAGTTTATTGAAGAACTAAGAGTAGTTTTCAAACATAAGACTTAGGTTGTTTTTAACAAAATGAAAGAGTGAAATTTTAGATGTAAATAGAGTCAAATTAAAAATAAGGAAAAATAATAAATAGTTATTTTTATATCAAGTGGACGATCGAAAGGCGTTGTAGAAAAAATATATTTCTAGACTTGGAAAAATGAGATAAAATGTGTTCGTATTTTTTAAATTAAATGTTGATCTGCTGAAGTTTCTTTATAGAATTAAAGCTATTAGTCAGTTTTAGGGACTTCTGAAAAATTTATGAAACATTCGTAAGTCGTGTGTTTATTGAAATTTTCTTCCTTAAATTTTTAGGTTTTTTTAGTCTAGATACTAGCTTACCTAGTACTCTAAAAAAAAAAATTCTAACTATATTAATCGTTCACCGATTTTCTTGAAATTTTTAATGTTTCTGTAATTTATTCTAAGTGAGCCACCGCTGGCAAAAAACACAAAAAATGGTCTTTTGTTTGAGAATTTGAATTTTTTTGGATCATTTTGAATCAGAAAATTGTTCATTACAGTCCTGATATGATTCAAATTGTTCTAAATTTTGTACATAAAGAACCAATCTGTCGAATTATGTACTTTTAAAATTTTTTGGCAATTGCTTTTGCCCTCATTTGTAAATTTTCGGGCAAGCTTAACACTACAACTAAAAAATTGCTCTAACTTCATTATTTATTAACCGATTTTGTTCAAGTTTTTAATGTTGGCAGTAATTCATTCTAAGTGAGCCACCGCTGGTAAAAAAATATCTTTTGTTCTGTTTTTGTTTTGATTTTTTTTTTGAACCATTTTGAATTTTTTTGCAAAAAAAACCTCACCGATTATCCATAAAAAACTGTTTTAATTCAATTCGAATTTGGTTGAAAAAGATGCAAAACTAATGAATTTAGATTGATTTTTCTAATTAGCCACGAAAAATTAATGTTACATAAGGGACTATTTCTTAGTGGATTTCAAAAAAATGCAGATTAACGCTTTCATATGACTTATAAAAATGATAATTTTAAATTTGTTTCCTCAACTGGCTTTGAAAAATTCATATCTTTTCCCGTTTAGTATAACAAAATCAAAGTGTGTTCTCAGTTGGCAATAAAAAATACTGTTACCAACAAATTGACAATATTTAGACAATTTGCACAAGTGAACGCAGAAATGATGTTTAAATTTAATTCTTCATTTGGCAATAAAAATAAATCGTTTTAGTTATAAAAAATAAGGACCATATTTGTAAATTTACGTCACCTTTTTGCTTTTTTTTAATCACCAGTAACTTATACTTCTCATTTTTTATCGTTTTCGTTTGATTTTCTTGAGAAATTATGATTATGATTGAATTTTTGTTTTTTACTTTTTTTCAATCTCTACTTTTTGCCGTTTTCTACTTTTAGTGTTTTCAAATTCTACAATAATCTCTAGTAAAAAAATTGCTATCGCGCGACAAATATTGTTAAGGTTGAACTATACTGAATAAAAAAATAAATCGTTATTTAAAAATTCTGAAAAAATTATCATGACCTTTTGATGACCTTAGCAGCAATATATATTAATTTGAATTTTTTGTCTGTGTGGTTTAAAAATAAATTAAAAAAAAACTCTATTTTTGGGCATTTAATTTTTTTTATAACAAAATTGTGTATTGTAGATTACACACTTATGCTACTGTATTTTTTTATGCAATTTAAATAATGTGTTTTTTCATGAAAAAATAAAAACTATTGAATTTTGCAATCCGTTACAAATACTCAAAATGAGATCTGTGTTATTGTGTGTGTGAGGTACTTTTTTAATTCAGGAACAACATCCAATTGTAAATTGTTTACTGAATTTCTTAAAAATTCAATTTTTTTTTCATTCGAAAACTTGTTTGAACGGCTTTCCGTCGGTACACAAGCGACAATATTTTTTGGTGGTACATTTTGAAACTGGCTAGAGACATGCCATCTACGGAACGGTAGAGTAAATAGTTTGAAAACTGTAATTTTGTAATTTTCTGTAAAAATTGCAAAAATTTCAAATAAAAGGAATAAATTTTTAATATATTATGTAATATATTTTAAGTTTGTTCTAATTCATTTTATTATAAGTATCATTGTGGCGTCACCATCTATTTATCTTTCTGTTTTTAGTCATCGAAATTAAAAGAAACAAAGTAAAATTAATTATTTGAAAATTGACAAAAATGCTAATACCAAGAATTAAGAATTAGTTTTCTTCAATTTATTTTCGCACCTTCTGATCGATATGCTGTTGTTAAAATGGATTTACATTTGCATAAAATAAGATGCATACTATCAATATTTTAAATCGGGAAAAATTCAAATTTAATTTTATAAATTCGTAACTAGATTACTTTGTTCTAAAAAAGAACTGCTCCTAAAGTAACGTTTTACACGGGTTTTAATAATGTATAATTTTTGTTTTGTTGAGGAAAGTGCATTTTTCAAAATTTTTAATATTGAAAATCCCTGCGAAATTAGGTATTGGGGCAAACAAATGGTGAATATTAAAACAATCTCTGTAAGTGAGTGAAGAACCTTTAAATACATTATAGAGGTGTCTAGGGTTTTTCAAAAAGTGACAAAATGGTGTTTTTTTTTTGAAAAAAAATTTGCATGTCGTGATTTTGCGTTTCACGATTTTGTTAATGAAGGCGCCGTGAAGGTGACTCCGGCCCACGACCCCGTCGACTTCGAAGTGGGCAAACGGCACTCATTGGCCCTCCTCCAAGTGATCGATGAAAAGGGCAATCTCACCCCCGTCTGCGGCGAATTCGCCGGAATCGGAAGATTCGCAGCGAGAGAAACTCTGATTTCACTCTTGGACGACCAGCGACTGTTGAGAGGGAAAGAGGACCACAAGATGCTTGTTCCAATTTGCAGCAGGTCCAAGGACATCGTCGAGTATCTAGTCAGGCCTCAGTGGTTCATCAAGTGCGCGGAAATGGCCAGAGAGGCCGTCGAGGACGTCGAAACGGGCCGATTGAGGATTGAACCGAAACATTTCGAGAAGGTCTGGTTCGATTGGCTCGCCAACATCAGGTAAGGGGGCCCAAATTTATTTATTTTGAACACACATAATATGAAAATTTTCGCTGAAAAGGATTTATCCTCGGCGAAAAAAAATCTTTTAAAATAATAATAATAATATTAAAATTCGAAAATGACAAGCCCCGATTTCATTTTTCTCAGCGATTACTCCCTTTCAGAGCGATCCCAAATAATGGAGAGCAGAACAAAACAAGTCGTTAATTGCTTATTGTTCGGGCGCCCATTGAAAATAATGTACTCTTGCTTGAGGTGAAAAAATAAATAAATAATAATAAATAATCTTTAATAATATTCGAAATTTCGTATTTATTCAATTTTTTTTTATTAGTAATGTTGCATTTTTTAAAATCACTTTTGATGTCAAAGATGTCTTAAATTTTCTATTATTCTATTTTCCCCTTCGAGAAAATGGAACAAATTCATCGTTTATGTTATTCTATTTTGTTTTTCCATTTTTGAGATTAATTCAAAATTAAAGTGAAAAACTTTTTGAAAAAAGATTTCTTATTATCTCAAATACTTCAGAACGACTAAACATTACATAAACTTTTTTCATACTATTATAAAAATTGAGGGAACAAAAAAATTCTTAAATTTTGTGGTGATTTAAAGACTTCAAAAAAAATGGTTGTATTTAGAATAAAAAAAAATCATTTTGAAGCTTTAAGTTTCTAATCTTGGGATCTTCTAACAAAATTTTTTTGAGCTACGGTCATTACGCAATCCTAAGAAGAAGCGCCAGAAAAAAATTTGTTCATTCAGGTTTAATTTGCTTTTTTTATGTTCTATTTACGTCAAAATGTCGCTGAGATATTTGACTTTTAATGAAAAAGGATTTTTTTTTGTCTTTGATCATCGAAATCTAGCAACCAATGAGCGCACAGAGAATGTAAGAATAGTTTCAAAAACTGGAATAAATTTCCTCCATAATGTTTTTAGGATTTTTTGAAAAAAAAAGTTTTTCTCAACATTGGTTTAAAGAAAAGACAAAGTAACTTTTTTTGTTGTTTTAATAAATCCACGGTGTATTCACAAATATTGATGGGAAGACTAATGTGTCCAAGTTTTTTTACAGTTTAATGTATCCCCCATAGCTCTGTAAATTTTTGAATCGATTCATCAAACTGTTTTCTCGGACTGATTGATCAAAGTTTTTAAAAGAATTAAAGGAATTAATTTCTGAACATTGTTTAATCTTCTTCAAAGTAAAAAAAAACAGTTTTTTTTTAACTTTTTTTACAATTTTGCATTTCAAATGTGAAAAAATCGTTTTTTTTACATTTTTGAAAATTTGTAAAAAAATCAAGAAACAAGAAACTGATTTTTGAGACTATTCAGTTTTTGCATATCCTAATTTTACTCATCTCAAATTAATTGCATTAATTAAAAGTTGTTTTCACACTTTCATACTCGATTTACAAACAGTCATGTAATTTTTTTAAAAAGAAGTCAAAAAAAATTGTTTCCGAATTTTTTTTCAAATTTAAGAGTAGTGTATTATTTTTTTCAAAACTCAACAACTTGAATCATTTTGCAACTTTGAACATGTACTATTTTCTTAACACTTTTTTTGTACAGGGTGTCTCAAGTGTTAGGTCCGGCGAAAAAATAAATATTTTCAATTGATAAAAAAAAATTGTTAGTGCAGGGGCGTACTGAGCTCTTAACGGGCCCGTGTTTCATCGTGGTTGCACAGGCCCCCACACTCACCATGGCAGTGTTAAAATTAATAATTGTTTTTATAATATTATTCAAAAAAGTATGTAAATTTAATAACTTGTAAAATAATATAAAAAGAGATAATAATAAAACATTAATGATATTTGTCTAAAAATTTGTATTTCCGGTTAAACGGAAGTGGGTTAATTTAATAGAAAGCTATGTTTTTTATTGCGTTTTTGGATTTTCCGAGTTATTCAATTATCATCGATCTTCCCTATATCAAAGTCCAGCCGTTTTTGAGATTTTTAGTCTTTTAGAAAATTTTTAAATTTGAACCTTTCTTTTCAAAAATCTATCTAACTCTGCAATTTTTAACTGTTATGAAATCATATTTTGGCATTTAAAAGAGAAATGATTGATTGTTTTTTTTATGGATTCATAATCTAAAAAAATATAAACGAACACTCAAAATTTAACCTTACGTTTGAGGAAAGTCAAATACTCATAAGTCAATTTTTTTAAAGGAAAGGCTCCAAATTTTTCTTTTTAATGGAGAGCTCAAGCTGACCATTTTTAGTCATCAGAACCTAATTTTAACATCTAATATAGAAAAATGTTTTTTTTTATTTGTAATTTGTAATTTGTAATTGGACAATGGAAAGGCCTCCGTGGGTTGCTCAGTCCGCCACTGGATTGATTATATGGACTTCAAACCACAAACAAACAAAACCAAATTTGGAAAAAAAATTGTTTGTTAATTGGAATATTTTCTACATGATAAAATTTCTTGTTTTTTTTTTAATGGTAACTGTGAAAATTGAATAATGTAAAAGTTGACAGATTTTCAGTAATTATCATTTTAATATTAAAAATTGGAAGTTATGGTAATTTATGGCCAAGTTTGGGATGATGTGCTGTTAATGCTAATTGACAATACAGCGGAGGCTTCACAATAGAGCCCGGGTACATCATAAATGTCATTGAAGACCTTTTTTTTTTGTCAAGAAATTCTGACCTGATCACCAATTACCTCAATCAAACACCCTCATAAATTATTCCAAGTTTCAGATTTTCAATATTAAAATGTTAATTTAATTATTCAAAACCTATCAACTTTATCATTTTTCTATTTTCAGAAATACTACAGAAAAAAATAAAAAAAAAATATCATGTAGAAAATATTCCAGTTAATTGAATTTTTTTTTCCAAATTTAATTTTTAAAGTTTCACTGCCATACGCTAGAAATTTTGTACAATATCAAAACAGTGTATTTAATACTCTATCGTTTACAGTGTTTACAATATCAATTTTTTTTTATAATCAATTAGAAATATTTATTTTTGCGCCGGCCCTAAAACTTGAGACATTAACCACCTTTGTATTTTTTATTGATATTTATTGTTTTTTTTTGTACTATATAAAAAATTATATTGTTTTGAAATGTTCTAAATATTAAAATCATTAAATTCAGCGAAAATAGAAGAAAAAATCGTTTTTTGGCCTAATTTTTTTTAAGTCCTGAAATTTATACCAACATATGAAAGTTTTTATGTTATTTGTTGCTTTAAAGACGATTAATTTATCAAGTGTTTTGTTTATGCACCCATTGAAAATATGAAAAGGCCTCATTGTGCTTGGGAATTTATTCGAGTGACTATTGTTACTCCTCTTGGCCTAATAATTGAACTTTAACAATGTCTAACATATTCCATTCGCAAGTTGCACGGCTCCGGGGTATTATTTTAACAAATTAATTATCGAGGGTGTCGCAAAATGCTTTTATAGGGATTGGTGCATCTCGCGGCAGCTCTGGTGGGGCCACCGCATCCCTGCGTACTCCTGCCGCCCGCAGGACGGCTCCGCTCCTGCAATCTGGGTGTCCGCCGGCGACCGGAACGAGGCCGCTCGCAAAGCCTCCGCTCGCCTCTCCTGCCCCCACATCGAAATTCAGCAGGATGAGGACGTCCTCGATACGTGGTTCTCATCGGCGCTTCTCCCATTCTCGGTGTGGCCGCAACAGGTTTGTTGAAATTCCACTCCTGCTGCTTTCACATTCCCGGATTCAGGACTCGCATTATCCTTTGGATTTGATGGAAACCGGACACGACATCCTGTTTTTCTGGGTGGCCCGGATGGTCATGTTGGGCAAACAGCTGACGGGGCGGTTGCCCTTCAACAGGATCCTCCTGCATGGGATCATCCGCGACGCCCACGGCAGGAAGATGTCGAAGAGTTTGGGGAACGTGATCCTGCCCGAGGACATTATTTCCGGAGCCACGATGGAGGTAGGATCAAGTCAGGGCCGTAACCAGGATTTTATTTCGGGGGGAGGTTTCTTGTTGGTCCATGAAAATGAAATGAAAGAAGGCGGATTAAAAAGCAAAAATCTCTAAGTACACGTTTTTATTTAAATTAAAATAAGAGATCTTAATTAAACATAAAAAATACAAATTAACTCACAAAAGTAACAAAAAATAAAATAATTTTTTAATACTTTTTATTGTTACAAATTTAAACAGGAGACAGAATATTCATTTTTAAAACAAAAATTTTCTATGAACATATATCGAAAACTGCTACGCAAGGGGTGCGTCTTTTAATAGTTTTTTTTTCCATATTTCCGAAATCATTTTAGAAAAAAATTTCAAAGTTTTGTAGGTACAAATGATAACTTTTATTCACCTAAACAAGTACAAAAATAAAATGTTGAAATTTTTAATTAGGGGCTTCCTAAACTAAATGGAATTAGGGTAAAAATTTACTCTAACTATATTGCCTGTGGTTTCTTGGCACATTCAGCAACAAAATTTCATAGTTTTTCATCAAAAAAAAGACTTTTGTGTTGTTCCGATACAATTTACGGATTTTTAGTAAAAATCGGTTTAGAAATTTATGTTACAGACCACAAACAACATAAAAATTAAAAAATAAATTTGTTTTACCGTTTAGGACGCCCCTGATTAAAAATTTTGTTATTTGTTTAGGTGTACATATAAAGGTACTAAATTTTGTAATTTTATCTATTCTGAAATATTAGGCGAAACCCTTTAAAAAACGTACCTTTTTTAGCATTTTTCGAAACACTTTTGTTTTAAAGTTAAATATTCTATCAACTATTTTAAATTTTAATTCTTTTTTTAATTTTAAATTTTAAATTATTTTAAATTTTTAATAATAAACAGAGAAAAATTTTTAGAAGAACTTTTTCTTAGCCAAAAGTGTGAAGTTTTTTTATCTTCTAGTTCTTTGAATAATCTACCATGTAAGGACTTTTTTCAAATTTTTTATAATTACACTTTTGTTTTTATCTTTGGATTACCTAATTAAATTTAATGGTGTACAATTTTTATCACTTAAACAAATCGCCTTAATAAAAATATTATTATTACGCTGATCTAAGAAATATTTTCTAAGTGAGAAAATTTGTCTACTATGTGAATTAAATAAATTGAAAAAACCATACCCTCCATTTTTTCTTGATAAAGAAAACCTTTCAGTGGATGATTTTGGGTGGTGTATTCTAAACTGAGTAAACAGTGTTCTGATTCTAATATTAATGTTATTAATAATTGTTCTTGTTTATTTAGAAGAATAAAGTAATTCAAGTAAATTTATAGCTTTCACAAGATTTTTTCCATTTAATTGAGTTTTAAGTAATTGTTTAGACCTTATTTTAAGGCTATCTACACATACACATTATCTTGTTGTGTGTAGCGAACTTTTGTTTTAATTAATTAATGTCGAAAGTGTTTTTTTTATAAAATTTGGTGCTCTTACGCAGCAAACGATCCTCGTCAAGAATTTTCGCTGAGTGATTTTAATTGCTAATGGCTGTCGACAAGTTTTCGGGCTTCCGATACAATTTACGAATTTTTAGTAAAAATCGGTTTAAAAATGTGTGTTACAGACCACCAACAACATAAAAATTAAAAAATAAATTTGTTTTACCGTTTAGGACGCCCCTGATTAAAAATTTTGTTATTTGGCATTTGTTTAGGTGTANNNCCCCCCTTGGGTACGGCCCTGGATCAAGTTTAGGTTTTCATCTCGTCGAAAGAACAAAAATTCAATTGCAATCACAGCACGAATCTTATATGTGTTCTTTTTGCGCCGGCGGCAATCGGGAACTTTTTAACCACTTGTCAACTTTGAAATAACATTCTTTCGCTGTTTTTTTTTATTCAGAAACTGGAAGCGGGGTCGAGGCAGAGTCACGAAGCTGGGATTTTATCGGGGGAGGAGTTGACAAAAGCGCTGGAAGGTCAGAAGAAGATGTTTCCTTCCGGAATTCCAGAATGCGGAGCGGATGCGCTCAGATTTACGCTCTGTTCGCACAATATTAAGAGTGAGTAATGAGAAAACGAATTGAATTATTATTATTTGACTCGGTAAAAAGAGAAGAAATTATTTGGCAGACAATTATTCAAAACATAATTCTCTAACAAATAATTTCCACAACTTTACACTCCACTGATCCGGCGATCCGCAGGCAAGGTTTAAGATTGTTTGAAATGAGATTAATGTAAGAAAAAAACTCTAAAATTCCCCAAACTCGCGTCACTGCTGATATTCCGCCTCGCAACTTATTGAACTATTATTAATTAAATTATTGTTATTAAATGAATTTTGTTAATGTTGATATATTTTCTAACAATATTACAAGTTTAGAATTTCGTTAATTAAATTTGAATTTAATTTTAAAAGTTCAAGACTTACTTTTAAATTGTTTGGTACTACTCCAATTGGCGGAAATGATTATTGGTATTATTTTGTTTTTCTTTTCGAGAAAATGTATCAAACTTATAGTTTATGTTATTCCATTTTTGAGATTAATTCAAAATTAAGCTTTTCCGTAAAAAACTCTTTGAAGAAAGATTTCTTATTATCTCAAATGCTTCATAGCGACTAAATTCTACATAAAATTTTTTCATACTATTACAAAAATTGAGGGGACAAAAAAAAATTCTTAAATTTTGTGGTGATTTTTTAAAGATTGTACTTCAAAGAAAAATGGTCTTATTTAAATTAAAAAAAATCCATTTTGAAGCTTTAAGTTTCTAGCTCTTTCTGAGCTACGGTTATTATGCTATACTAAGAAATAGCGTGAGAAGATATTTGTGTTTTTTTATTTTCTTTTTGGTCCACGGACTTGGGGAAATTTTTATTAGTTAATTCAATGCATAGGCCGCACAGCTTGTCCATTCAGCTTTAATTTGTTTTTTTATGTTCTTTTTACGTCAATTTGACGCTAAGATATTTGATTTATTTAAAACTATTCTATCCCAAGAGTCTACAAACAAATCTGAAGAAAAGAAAATTACTTAAAGAGTAGTTTGAAAAATAGAAAACTAGAAAAAACTAGAAGAAAAATAAAAAGAAATTTAGACAAAAAAAATTTAGGCTGAAAGAAAAAAAAACTAAAAAAGAACTTGGAAAAAACATTAGAGAAAATTTTGTAGAAGAACATACAGGGTGCGCCAGAAATTACCTTACTACGAGTTCATCTTCGTTAATAATAATTATTTATGTTTAGATTAATTAAATTTAATGGTGTAGAATTTTCATCATTTAAACTTAGAAAATATTTAACTAAAAAAAATAAAAAGAAATTTCGACAAAAATCTAGTAAAGAATTAAAAAGAAGGTTTACGAAAGGATTTTTAAGGGAAAAGTCTACAAAAGAATCTGAAGAAATGGAAATTATTCTAGATAGTAATTTAAAAAACAGACAACTAGAAAAACTACAAAAAAATTGAAAGAAATTTAGACAAATAGCTTTTTTGAGTAAAGAATCGAAAAGAAAGAAAAAAAAACCTAAAAAAGAATTTGGAAAAAACATTAGAGAAAATTTTTTACAAGAACTTTTTCTTAACCAAAAGTGTGAAGTTTTTTTATCCTCTAGTTCTTTGAAAGGATTTTTTAAGGGAAGAGTCTACAAAAGAATCTGAAGAAATGGAAATTACTCTAGATAGTAATTTAAAAAACAGAAAACTAGAAAAACTACAAAAAAATTGAAAGAAATTTAGACAAATAGCTTTCTCGAGTAAAGAATCGAAAAGAAAGAAAAAAAAACCTAAAAAAGAATTTGGAAAAAACATTAGAGAAAATTTTTTAGAAGAAAGTGTGATGTTTGTTTCTCTAGTTCTCTAGTTCTTTGAAAAATCTACCATGTAAGGACTTTTTTCATTTTTTTTATAATTACATTTTTGTTTTTATCTTTGGATTACCTAATTAAATGTAATCGTGAACAATTTTCATCAGTCAAACAAATAGCCTTAATAAAAATATGTATTATTATTACTCTGATCTAAGAAATATTTCCTAAGTGAGAAAATTTGTCTACTATGTGAATTAAATAAATTGAAAAAACCACACCCTCCATTTTTTCTTGATAAAGAAAACCTTTCAGTGGATGATTTTGGGTGGTGTATTCTAAACTGAGTAAACAGTGTTCTGATTCTAATATTAATGTTATTAATAATTGTTTTTGTTTATTTAGAAGAATAAAGTAATTCAAGTATTGCAAATTTATAGCTTTCACAAGATTTTTTCCATTTAATTGAGTTTTAAGTAATTGTTTAGACCTTATTTTAAAGCTATCTACGCATACACATTATCTTGTTGTGTGTAGCGAACTTTTGTTTTAATTAATTAATTGTTTAATCGTCGAAAGTGTTTTTTTTTATAAAATTTGGTGCTCTTACGCAGCAAACGATCCTCGTCAAAAATTTTCGCTGAGTGATTTTAATTGCTAATGGCTGTCGACAAGTTTTCGGGCTTTTAATTGATTTGTGGAGCGTTTCGGAGTGATAAGGGTCGAATTTAGCAGTTTGTCTGTAGGCGGTCTCGCTGGTTTGAAATTATTTATCGCCGTGTCTAATATAAGTTGTCGACGCTAATTATGTAGTTATGTAGTTTTCATTTGGAAATTACGCCGGTTATTATACACTTTCCGCCAAAATTAACCGAACAACTAAAAATTTGCGATTTTTTTACATTGAAATATTTTTGTCATTTTTGTCGGATTTCGACGAAAGAAAAAACTTTGTAGATCATTGTAATTTATTTCAATAACATTTCAGTGAAAAAAGATTTCTCATTATCTCAAAGCGACTAAATTCTACATAAATTTTTTTCAAACTATTTGAGGGGACAAAAAAAATTCTTAAATTTTGTGGTGATTTTTAAAGATTTTACTTCAAAGAAAAATGGTCCTATTTAGATTTAAAAAAAAACATTTTGGAGCTTTAAGTTTTTAGTCTTGAGATTTTTTGGCAAAAAATTTCTGAGCTACGGTTATTATTTTTGTTATTTTTGTCGGATTTCGACGAAAGAAAAAACTTTGTAAATCATTGTAATTTATTTCAATAACATTTCTAGTTTTGTCTTCTAAATGTGATACTCAAAAGACAAAGGCACTGTTTTTTTACTTATTTTTATACTGAGCGACAGACAAACTTAAGTTTTTACTGACTTATTGCCCATTCTTCTCTGAATTATGTACCACATTTTCCATAATTTTAATTGTTGAGACATGAAGATATATACAGGATGAATATAAAGTATGGAGCCAAGCGGTTTTATTTTTAATCATTTGCTTCCAGAAAATAATAATTAATATAAATTAAAGTAATATAAAAAATGTGATCGTATTTTCAGAACGAAATTTTGTTTTGTTTTTGAGTTATGCGATTTTTTTTTGTCAAAATTGCAATTTATGTGAAAAATTTTTTTTGAAAAAATTAAATATAAAGCAGATAGTTGTAATCCTTAGAGTATAGCTTTTACGAGAAAAATGAGTTTATAGTGGGTTGCCATTTAAAAAAATTAATTTTTTTGTAGAACTCAAAAACAAAAGGTAATTTTGAAAAAAATTATTCTTGTTAAATCATCACATTTTTATAGTACTTTATCACTCATCAATTAGTTTTTTCAAAAAATAAATAGTTTAAGCAAAAAACGTTTGGTTCCATACTTTTTATTCACCTGGTATATAAACCTTCAAAAAAGCATTACATTTCAATGAATGTTATACCTTAGCTGAAAGTTATAATTTCTTATAGATTTTGAGGCACTGAGTTCAAAAAAAAATATTTAAAAAAGTCCAGTTTGTGTAAAATACAAAAACCGCCAAAGAACAAATAAAAAATGAGTTATTTTACTTTGTTTTATTACACTTTTTTGGATCAGTTTTCTTTATAACAATTCAACATATTATTAACATATTTTCATCCCAAAAACCTTGGTGTCGATCTTTGAAAACCCTTCAGATCTTAATGAAAACGCTCACTCATGCTCCCTATTTTTTTTTTTAAAGAAGTCCAATGCGAGTCAATAAAATGTTTTTAAGACTTATTTAGACCATATGGTAATAATTTTGCAATAATTCAGCAACAATTTGAATTTAAATAAATTTTAAATCGGAGGCATTTGTGCAGAAAGCAGGAAAATTATCATCTGTAATAAAAAGGTGTGAAGTGATAGAAAAATTTAACAATTATTTTTGTTTAATTAAAGGTTAGTTAATAAAAAAACTAATTCGATTAAAAGTATATTAAACATGTTATTATTTGTAATCAAGAGAAAAATTAAATTTTCTTTCCATTGGGTGAAAATAATGAACTTTTAATTACAGAGTTCCTAGTCTCAAGTGAAGCAAAAAATGTTTTTCTTTTGCAGTGTTAGCGTAAAATAAAAAAATCCGGTGACATACTGTATAATATTAGTTATTATTATTATTATGGCATTAAATTTACCACTTTGGGTTTTTTGCTTTGTTTAGAAGTAATAAAAATAATTATTAAAAAAGAAAGAAACTAGCTATTTGTTAATAAAATTAAAAGTAAATCACAAACATTTTTTTTTAAGCCGAACAAAAATTCGTTGAAATCCGACGAAGAATAACAAAAATATTGCAATGTGAAAAATTGCAAAATTTTAGTTGTTAATTGCCAGTGCAGTTAACGAAATAATTACAAGTTTTATTTAAATTTCAAGGGGAATTTAGTATTTTTTTTTCGGGGTGACAAATAGCGGCGCGTTTCTCCGATATTAAATACCCGGCATAAGCCCACGTGGGGCTTTTATTCCCGCCATTAAAAACATTAAGTCTCTTCGAACAAATCGATATCGAGGCGCGAAATTGCCCTTTGTTCACGATTAACCCACATTTAGGTCATTTCATCGATTTCGACGTGCAAGAGTGTCACACGAACAGATTGTTCTGCAACAAGATCTGGCAAGCGACCAAGTTCACCAACAACGCTGTGGAGAGCGTCAGGGACGGGCTGGGGCCCATAGACACCCATCAACTGGGTCTAATGGATCGCTGGATTCTGAGCAAATTGAGCGGAATGGTGGATGTGTGCCAGCGAGGGATGCATAATCACGATTTCCATCTTGTCACAGCGGCGATCAAGGAGTTTCTCTACTTCCAATTCTGCGACGTGTATTTGGTAAGGGCGTTTTTCAACTGCTTGAATCACATACCCTGAAAATAATAAATGAGAAAAAAATCTGTTAAATATCAAACATTCCTACTTACTATAAATAAAATTAATCCAATTATAAAGTTGTAAATTTCTTGTTAATAAGGTTTTGTCTTATTAAAAAAAATTGTCTCTCTCACAGCTGCAACAAAGGTAGAGCAAAATGCGGCGCGGCGGAATATCAAAAGTTTACATAAAATTACCGTTTTGATAACTTTTCTGTTATTGAATTTTATTTAAAAAAAAAACACATTTATGTTCAATAAAAATTGTGATTTTTTATTACACTGGTTTTTATTTATGTTTTTTTTTAAAGTCAAAAAATAAAAGAGGTATCCGTTGGCGAGTTTTCAAATAATATTTTATGTAAGTACAAAACTTTTTTGTGTGAAAAAAGAATTAGATAAGAGTTTACATTAGAATTTGAAGAAAACGTGAAGAATAATTTGGAGAGGAATTTCGACAAAAATTAGTGAAAAATTAAAAAAAATAGCTTCATCTAATTTAAAAGAAATTTTACGAAAGGATTGAAAAAATCAAAGAACCTAGAAGAAAATTGTATTTTTTTTTAAAGTGATCCGTTGGCGAGGTTTTAAATAATATTTTATGGACAAAACTTTTTTCAATTTCAATAAATGTCAAAAAAGAATTAAGAAGTAAGGGAAAATCTACAAAAGAATCTAAAGAAAAGAAAATTGCTCTAGAGAGTAAATTAGAACAGTTAATTAGAAAAAAAAATAGAAAGAATTTTAAACAAATAGCTTTTTATAGTGAAGAATTTAAAAGAAAGAAAAAAAATTTTAAAGAATTTGGATAAAACAGAGGAAAATCTAGAAAAGAATCTAAGTAAAGTCGAAAGAATAATCTAGAAAGAAAGAAACAAATTTAAAAAAGAATTTTGAAAAAACAGAGGAAAATCTAGAAATGAATCTAAGTAAGGTCGAAAGAATAATCTAGAAAGAAAGAAACAAAAGTAAATAGTTAACAACTAGAAAAAAATAGAAAGAAATTTAGACAAATAGTTTTGTCTAGTGAGGAATCTAGAAAAAAAGAAAAAAAATCTAAAAAAGAAATTGGAAAAATCAAAGGAAAATCTAAAAAAGAATTTAAGTAAAGTCGAAAGAATAATCTAGAAAGAAAGAAACAAAAGTAAATAGTTAACTAGAAAAAAAATAGAAAGAAATTTAGACAAATAGCTTTTTAAAAGAAACAAAAAATCTAAAAAAAAAATTGAAAAAATAAAGGAAAATCTAAAAAAGAATCTAAGTAAAGTCGAAAGAATAATCTAGAAAGAAAGAAACAAAAGTAAATAGTTAACTAGAAAAAAGATAGAAAGAAACTTAGACGAATAGCTTTTTCTAGTGAAGAATCTAAAAGAAAGAAAAAAAATCTAAAAAACAATTTGGAAAAAACATCACAGAAATTTTTTTAGAAGAATTTAGAGGCAAATCTAGAAACAAATCTAAATAAAGTCAAAAAAATAATCTGGAAAGGTAGAAACAAAAGTAAATAGTTAACTAGAAAAAAAATAGAAAGAAATTTAGACGAATAGC